TTGGAAGACAAGGTTAAGACATTAACTAGTGAATTGGAGAAATCTAATGCTCATCTCCGGACTTTCATAAGTAGAACTAAGAAATATTGGATGATATTTTGGGAATGAATAAGCCTACGGGAGATAGGAAAGGTCTAGGATATGTTGAGGGTAATACACATGGTGCTGGTCCATCTAAAACTGTATTCATTTCTGCCTCTAGGAAGTCTAACACTGTCAACAGTCCAAATAAGGGTAAGAATGTTTCAAGGGAACAAAGTCATCAATCACATAGAAATTTTATGCCCAAACACCCACAGACATGTACCTTTGAGCCTAGGTTCATTCTCACATGTCACCACTATGGAGCTCTAGGACACACTAGGTCTAGATGTTATAAGTTAGGCAATGAGCATAGAAATTAGAATATTCCAAGTTAGGTCAGTTTTCTGACTAATCAGGTTAGTCATTTGACTGAGATGCTTACCAGGCTGACTAGGAGTACCACGTCATCTAAGAAAGTTTGGGTTAAAAAGGAGGATCTAGCTGGACTTTCAGGTCAGGTAAATTGCTATGTTGCTCATGTTGCATTAAAAGCCCAAGATTTCAATATGTGGTACCTTGATAGTGCTTGTTCTAGGCATATGTGTGGTAACAAGGCTTTATTCACTACTCTTGATGAATGCAATGGGGGTATGGTTACCTTTGGAGATGGGGGCTCTGCATCTCTTCTTGGCAAAGGTACTGTACAAATACATGGATTACCTGTGATCTCAAATGTGCTTTATGTGGAAGGTTTAAAGTCGAACTTATTAAGTATTAGTCAGATTTGTGATGCTGATTTTGAGGTTAGCTTTGTGGAAAAGAGATGTACCGTGTATTGTTCATTCGGTAGGGTGGTCCTTGAAGGGGTTAGAACGTCTGATAATTGTTATAGAGTCCTACCTAATTCTAACTATGTGTGTAGGAGTGCAAAAATTGATGTGAGTGAACTCTGGCATAAAAGATTGGGTCATTTAAACTATAAGAGTCTAGTACAACTGGCTAAAAAGGAGTTGGTAGATGGTTTGCCTAAAATAGGTCCTAGTGAAAATGTTGTGTGTGGACCATGTCAACTGCGTAAACAAATTAAAGGAATCCATAAAAAGACTTCTAAAATTTTGACCAAAAGACCCCTGGAATTGATACACATGGATTTAATAGGACCATCTAGGACTAAGAGTTTAGGAGGTAAGCGGTATATTCTGGTTGTGGTAGATGATTTCTCGAGGTTCACATGGGTAGAATTGCTTAGAGAAAAATTTGATGCATGTGACCTTATAAAATCTTTGCGTAGACGGCTTAGTAATGAACTCAATCACAAAGTGTCCAGAATGCGAAGTTATCATGGAAAAGAGTTTGAAAATTTCAATCTTGCGAGCTTCTGCATGGATGAAGGGATACTACATGAGTTCTCTTCCCCTATCACTCCTCAACAAAATGGGGTAGTTGAACGGAAGAATCGTGTTCTTCAGGACATGGCTAGAGCCATGCTTCATGACAAAGGGCTAGCCTTACATTTTTGGGGAGAAGCTGTTAATACTGCATGCCACATAATCAATAGAGTCTCCCTTAGACCCAAAACCGATCAGACTCCATATGAGATTCTAAAGGGTAAAAAGCCTACTGTCAAATACTTTCGTGTGTTTGGGAATAAGTGCTACATTTTGCGTGATAGAGAGAACTTGAGTAAGTTTGAATCTAAGAGTGACGAAAGAATCTTCTTAGGAT